ACTTAGAGAAATCGATTCGGTCATAAATGCTTTGTAAGGATCTTCCAACACCTTTAGTATCATGATAGTTTTCATGTACTTGAACATGAAATGCAAGTGCTGCTTCATGAAGGTGTTCTTCCACACTGCTGTTTGCTAATTGATACAGCTGGATGAAAGCTTGTGGTAGTTCTACAGAATTGAAAAAGGAGCTGGTATTTGTCTAAAAGATTGTTTCTTTCCTCCCAAGTTCGAGTGGTGCAGCCTTGCTGGGCAGTTGTTCCCATGTTGAAATATCCAGCAGGAAAGTTGCTGCTGGAGCCTTTGGAGGGAAAAGAATACAGCTGCCTGCTTCCCCTCTCTCCACATTATAATGAGAATTGTTTACTGCATCACTTCCATAGGCTTTCAAAATTTGGTATTACACGCTGTATAATTCTCAGCTTATAGTGCAAAATTTTAACGATTTTCTAATTTTTTTTAAATAAAACTAAACTTTAAAATCCTTCTCTAATTCTCTTTCTTTATTAAGTCACCAAGAAAACACCTGTTCTTTTTATCTGTGATAACTGTGCACATTTTGACCCTATAGTAATGTGATACATTTCAGTATAAATAGGGTCTTGGTTGTACAGACACAAAGATGCCATTCTCTCTCTATTTATGTAAGGATATTGATGAGAATCAGAGGTTATTAAGCTGAGTAAAATACTGCTTTCAGTAGAAAATTGTCTAACAAAATCTTGCTGTCAGCAGGACTGGAAAAAAAAGGATAATACCATCTTTAAATCACAGGACTGGGTGTTGGCAGACCGTCACCGTACCCTGTGCCTGGTGTGCCCACAGCCCTGCTGTGTGACCTTGCACCAGACCTGTGCTCCCATCTGCTCTCTGTGTTCCTGCCACAAAATGTATGATGTGTTGGTTGGAAAATGCCTGAGATCCTTGAATGGAAAACAACCTGTAATAGAACTGCGCTGTGAATTACATCACATAGTAGCTAATTTGATTGACAGAACATCTTACAAATAATAACTCTTTTTAAAAATTTATTTCTTTTATTATTTATTTATTTATTTCATGTACCTCCATCCTATCTCCTCCCACCCATGACCCAGCTCACTTTATTTTGGTCACAAGGGAGGTGAGGTTTTGGGGGGGTTGGGGCAACAATGTAAAGTCTTATCATGAGGAAAATTTCAGTGAAACCTGAATTCTACCAAAAAGATGACTTTAGCTGCATTTAAATGGATAAGTCATTCTGATTAACTGTGGTTAAACACAGTTTTGGGATTTACAAAGGCAAAAAGACAAAACCAGGGTCTTCAGTATGGTGCAAGGTGAGAGGAAGAAAAGTCCGTGGGCAGAGCTGGAAATCAGAGAGGTTCAGACTGGACATGAAGAAAAATGACTTCATATGACACAGTCTGGTGGCAGGACAGGTTGCTTGGAGAGGCTGTGAAATGTCCATTCTTGGGGGCTTTCAGGACCCAACAGGATTAAGCTCTGCAAAGCTTGGGCTGAGCTGACCCTGCTTTTCTAAAGAAGGCTGGACTAGAGGCCACCTGAGATCCCTTCCAGCCCAGATTATTTAGAGGAAATCTGTGATCTCTTCAGGTGATTTGGTACAGATTTGTTATTCTGCATCTTACATCTGCGATTTTAGGAAATTCTTAAAAAAAATTATGTAGTTGTTTGGGGTGCTGACTAGCAACTATGATTCCTGGAATAAATAATATTCTGCCTGTTAATAAGTGTTAAATGTAGAGTTTGGTAGAGAATATTCACTATGTTTCCTGAACAGTCCAAACAATTGTAAAGGGGAAGTGTTTGGAAAAGAGAAAAGGAACTGTATACCATGGGTTTATTTGGGGCATTCACTTGATTCAGTCAACTCTTGAAAGCCGTCCTGTCTTCTTTAAATCCATGGTGGCAACTATAGTATTGCTTCGTTCCTCATTTTAAATGCTTTCTGCCTCTACTTTTCAGTCGCTCACACTTAGGTGAAATTAAGAAATCTAACTGTTGGGTATTATGTTTTAGACCTGCTGAAATAGCTCTTCCTGCTTGCATCCTTATGGTCTCATTAAGACGATGCTCACAGCATGCCTGACTCTAGTGAATATTTGCAGACCTCATTTGCCTACATTAGAGACAAAAAGCTTTAAAAAAATCCTTCTTGAGCAATAAATGGTTGAGTTTGTCAGTATCAGTGATCACAGAGCTGGTGTCTCCCAGGGCAAGGGCTGAATGCTGTCCTTGTAGTTGAATAACTATTGAAACGCTTTATCCAAGTCCTTTCCACTGCTGTGATAATGCAGTAGGTCCATGGCTTTGAGCTGTGGTTTTAAAGTGTGAGGGCTGCTAAAATCAGTGAGAAGTCAAAGTATGTGCAGCTGTTATAGCAAGTTCTGTACATCAAGGACTCATGTAGGCAATATCCTATTCTACTTTTTTTCTCATACCAATTACAGAGAGAAGGAATTTTTAAATTTTTATGTTAACAAGTTCCATTTTGTTGAGTCAAACTGTGACAGCTCATCATAAATCAAGATCTGCAGTCTTCAGAGCAAAACCCAGATTCCAACAAGTGTAAGTCATCTCTGTGGTTTACCTTTACAGTTGTGACTCAACCGTTTTGTTTTCTCTGTGCTCAAACTTTCAGGCTGAGACTTCTGTTCTCTGGGGGTTTAAAAAAAATCCTTGACCTATTCTGTAAGGCTGAAGTCATGCTTTAAATGCCAACCAAAATTTCCATTCTCTCTCTACTTGGTTTCTTCATTGTGTTGTGCATCAGCTGTTCACCTGCCCACCACAGGTGGCTCATTGCATTGTTGAGCCGATAACAATATATAATGGGTAATTTTTTTAAAGCATGTTAGAATCACTTTGCAGTGAAAGATGTCCCATAAATCTGAAGTAATACTGATGTTACGTTTTTATTCAACAAAACTAGAAATAATGGAACTAGAAATAATAGCAAAAATATTAATCAGAGGTCATGTAACTGTCATGTTAATGAGAAGTGCTTGAACATTACTGAGCTGTACTATAAATAGATGGTAATCTCATGGATTTCCAACCCTTATTTACTCTGTTTAAATTTCATGGTCCTGAAGAACTGGGCCAGAAAACTTAAGATTGGAGTTTTTCCCTTGGAGCTATTGAATCTTCCTGACAAAACAGTTTTTTCAGAGAGCAGTATAAGTTTACATATGTATATACCATGAAGATAACCGTTTTCATTGTATTTGAATCATCTTGCTACTCTTGTGAAAATAGAAAAGAAAAGCAATTACAAAATTAGGTTTTTGTTACAGGGTTATTTTTCTTGTTTGAATGTCAAAATAGAATTATCAAATTTTTAGAGAAAATTTGGATTAGCTTTTTTGATGGAATCACTAATGGAAGTGAAGAAAGGAAGGTAAAAATCATTTTCTATATCTAAAGATGGGTAAAGTGCCTCTTCATCTGATTTTTCTTTATTATTTATTAAGCTGTTCATATTATAAAGTTCTGATTGGAAGGAATTGACATATTTTATAAATTTGTGCAGAACTGTTTCTTCTCTATTTCAATTTTGTTGATATTTTTTCTTTTGAAAAGTTCATCACAGGCATCATGGAGAGGAGGACTACAGAAAAATTATTTGTTTGTGTCCAACTTTGGAAAGTTTGTTTCTTTGGATAATTGTCATCCTTACCTTTCAAAGCAGTAGCTCAAAACGTTCATTAAAGTTTTTCAGATTTTTGCTGACTGACCTCCAGTGCATCCCCTCTTGCAAAGCTGCTCAAGCCTTGCACAGGGCAGAGCAGTGATATTTTTTTTCTCATCAGTCTCCCAGGGCAGTAGGTCATAAGCCATTTCACTCTTCATTTGAGTAGTTCACCATTCCCAGGTTGTAGTCAAAAATACTCAAATTGTTTACAGTTTTCACTTGGTCCTGGACTAGAATATGCACTGTCCACGCAGTATGAAATGCAGTTGCACAGAAAACAGTACTTCCTAGTTATTGAGATGCTGACTTTGCAATTCTCATCATTAACTTTTCTGCTGCTATCTTCAGTTTTAACCTTTAGATTTTATGTGCAACAGATGTCACTGTAGCAATTCTCTGCAACCATCTGAGCACTTTTTATTTCCATTAGCGGGAAAAATTGTTGAATATAACTGGGTGGTGATGTACTTCCCTTGAGTTCTCCTTTCAGTAGATATCAAACTAATATATGGCCTGTGTAACAAACCTCTTCCACTTTTGATCAGGGTGCCTTGTTCAAAGAACACTGGCACTGCCTGGCTTGTGGGAGGACCAAATGAGAGAGCAGCAGCCAAGATTTTTGTGTTTCCTTGTTGCTTGAGCTATCAGAAATGCCATAATCGTAGCCATAAGCATTCAGCTCGGGATGGGAGCAGTGCATCTTGATGCTACACGCAGGTGTCACAGGATAAAGTGGAGAAAGTTTTACCTAGAACATCCCCGTAATGGTGTGTGGGGGTGAGGTGGTTTGAAGCTGACTCCCTGCCAAGTCTCCAAACCTCACCACAAGAGCTCCCCCTGCCCCCAAAACCAAGGGAAAAGAAAAAAAACCAAGAGAACCGAGACGAGAGAGAGAGGCAGCTAAAGCAATATATATAAACATATTTACACTTATATTACATTTATATACAATTGAAAGATATGTACAATTTCAAAAGGGAAAGGGGGAGGAAAAGAAAAGGAACAAAACCAAAATATACACAATCAATAGCCCAAGATCTAGCAACTAAAAGAATTAGCAAAAGAATATCTCACTACTCTCCTTGGAACAACAGAAAGTCGCGCTGCAACAACCACCGGCAACCTCCGCCTCCCAAGGTCGGCAAGGCCTTACCAGCCTTGCTCCCCAACACGACAGACTCAACAGCAGGGAAACCTGCACCTCAAAGCCACCAGAAGGAAAGAGAAGCCGAAGGCCTCTCCTCCTTTCTTCTTATACCCTGGCTTACATAAAAATCGTAGGGAATACCGGGTAAATCTGGGCACTTCCTTGGTTACAAACTGGTCACCAAGGAAGGCCCAGACTAAACTACCACAGGGAGCATTTCTCTATCTCTTGGCTTAGGATAGAGGAGCTTTTATTAGATGCATTTTTCTGGAAGACATCAGTGAGTGTTGCAAAGAACAGTTTGTTTCCTCTGTGTGGAGCACATTAACCAATCTGTAGCCTGTGGGGCACACCCCACCTGCCAGTACAGTTCCTCTGGCCCATGGTCCCCTTTGATGTGTACATTGGGACCATTTCAGGGGTGAGCTGCAGGCTGGGCAACTTGCTGTGGGGGTGGTGGGTGTCGTGCAGAACGAGATGTGTGGCACATGGCCCCGCAACCTTGGTTAGAAAAAGCTGTAAGGTTGGGCTGTGCTCTTTTAGATCATCAAGTTTGAGGCAGAAAATTTCCAAGGTGGCCACTGTCATGGGATTCCCTCTTTGTGTGTCATCCCCTGACTCCCATCAGGTGGCTTTTTTTTTCTTTCTGCTTTTATATGAACTGAGACATTTAATCAGAGAGTGCTTCATCTTAGTTTTCCTGTTTCGAGTCATGAATTTTAATAATACTTCTGGAATTTGCTATGTACACTCACTGAAAATTCCAATTCATCCCTTTCCTGTCTTTGTTTCAGCTTACTATTAGCAAGTTAATGAAAGACTGCTTGCACACTCCCTAAAACTGTTCACTTACACTTTATTCTGTGTATTGATATAATCATTGCACAGTGTCTGTATCTACCACAGTTTAAGGTTAAAGTTTAGAGGCAGTCACAGGTTTGGGGTTTTTTTTAAATCTATAAAACTTTTGGAATGAAATCTATAAAATTTTTGGAATGAAACCATACTTTTTTGTTGGAATATGTCAAGTTCAATGAAACCTTTGTGGAGAAAGGTTTCTTATCTCCAGGTTCTACTTTCTCTTCAAAACCAGATGAAAAAATCTGTAAGTTATTCTAATCCTATGAAAACTCACTTGTGGCTTTACTGATCTGGCTAAATTTTTGCCCTACCTGACTAAAACTTTAGACTTACTTTTTGGTTTCTTTCACAACAAGCCTCTCACTTGTTGGGCTGTCTGGCTGTAACAGAAGGGATGGAGAGACCCAGCACATGCTCCCAGTGTGTGAGAGACTGGTAAAGACCTTCATCTGAATCAATTATGGTAGCAATTTGAAGACTGTCTTATGCTCAGAGTGAAGGCTCTAACTGCTGGTGTCAGTGCAGTTGACTTACCTGTTTGCTTGGGTATGTCATACTTTTAACAGTGCTGGAGTTGTCCCATTTTGGAACTTAAAAAGAGCTTGAAATTGCACAGGTTTGTTTTTTTTGTGGTTTTGTTTGTTTGTTTGTTTTGTTTTGTTGTTGGTTTTTTTTTTTAAATGGAGAAGTTATTCCCTGCTCAGCTAACTTTGAGAATTTTAAGCAAAGTTGTGTGCAGATCTCTTACGTGCCATAATAATGCATGCACCTACTGAACAAGAGAAAAAAATTTTTTTTTCATCTGTTGCCAGCATAAACAGGTGTTTTTTTCCATAGAGGATTGTGATAAGAGAGCTGGCTGCTATAAACCTTTCAGGTTTTGCTGGTTTATATGCAATCAGTAGTGCTCTTGCCTTTTCTCTTAGGACTTTAGGTAACAGTAGTAGCGGGCAAGTCATCTAAAGGTCTCCAGTTGTGTCCCAAGAGTTGAAGGCTCAGAAATGTTATAAATCTTGAAGTATTTATTTTGGATGTGATGTTAGTGTTTTTATAACAATATCAAACCTTTATATATGGTGCCTTTGATTCCGTAGCACCCCAAAGCACTGTATAAAATTACTAAAGGGAAAAAGCTTCCCTTCATGTCCTTTCCTGTGCACTGGACACATCCCCAAAATAACAGGTGGAAGCCCAGACCTGTGGGCAGTGATTGTTTCCTTCAGTGAATTTATTCTGTTTGCTTCAGTTGCCCCTCTGCCATTTTCTCCTCTGTCACACTCCCTGGAAATTTGCATGGAGGAGGAAGAAGGGCTCCAGTTTGGGTGAAGGAAGGAATTAATGTAGTGAACTCCCATGTGCTGTCAAGTTTCCAGAAACCTTCCTATCCCATTGGCATGAAGCTTTGTGGATTTGCAGGGACCATGAAGGGGAAAGCCAGATACTGTGCAGCAAATATTCTTCTCAAAACCACCCATATATCTAAACAGGATTTAATGCATGTAAAAAGCAGAATTCACCACTATGTAAGGGCTTTCAGGAAAAAAGCATGTTAAAAGTGGGGGGCAGGGGAAGCTTTGGTGAGCTGCTGATTTTTAGGCACAGATTCCTAAAGAAAGATTTCTGTTTTATAACCTGCATGGCCAAATTAGTTTGCAGTGCTGGGATGGTATACGGGTTTATGTTACCCCATTTTGAACAGGGTATTTGGTGTACAGCACCAATATAGGGCATGTAGCATATGAGTAAATAATCAGAGGGTCCAACCTTTGTTAGAAATGTGCCAAGTAACTCACTCAATGTTGGAGCTATTACAATCTTCGCAAACAACTGAAAGGAATTCAGTTAATTATGGAATATTTCTGTGTTCTCTTTAATCGGCAAAAGACCAATTTGATTCACATTTCATGCAACTGTAGAATTACAGAATAGGTTAGAATTAGGTTGGAATGGAGCTCTGGAGTGACTTATCTAACCTCCTACAGCAGGTTGTCCAGTTGGGTTTTGAATGTTTGCAAGGGTGGAGACTTCACAACCTCTCTGGTCAGATGCTGGTGGAGGTGACCATCTTCCTGGTAAAAAATCTTTTTCTTATACTCAACTGGCGTTTCCATTGCCTCCTGTCCTATTGCTGTGTGTCTGTGAGAAAGCTCTGGCTTTGTCTCTTCTTTCCAAGGTACTTGCAGAAGCTCTTCTTGCAGCCTTTCTCGTCCTTTGCTAGTTCTACCTCCACCTGAGCCCTTACATTTCTAACTCCTTGCTTGCTTGGGCAACATCTCAATTTGTTCTGTGTACCTTTTTGCAATACATATAGATTTCCTTTTGCATTTGAGCTAGCTGAGGAGTTTCCTATTGGCCATACTGGCCTTCTGCCACCCTTGCTTGACCTTCCACACATGGGAATAGATTATCTGTGTTTTGAGGGAGTTGTGGTTTGGAAATCAAGCAGCTCTTCTTGAGCCCTTTTGCCTTCCAAGGAAGTCTCTGTTGGATCCTGACAAGTAAATCCGAGAAAAATCTGCAACCTGAAATCTGCTCTCCTGCGTTCCAAGACATGGTTCTCCTGTCTTCCTCGCTCCTATTAGAAGCTTAAAATCATGAATGTCATGGTCATTGTGGCTGAGGTTCCCCTTGACTTTCACATCCCTGGCCACTTCCTACTGCTTCTTGAATAACAGGCTCAACAGAGCATCTTCCTTAGTTGGATTGTCCATTGTCTAATTAGTTGTTCGGATATTTTGCAGAAAGTTTCAAAATATGTTCCTAATGGTATATACTTTACTGAGAGAATCAAGGACTTTAGTCCTGTTTAAATGATGTAATATTTATATTATGTGGTTGCAAAGCGAATCATTAAAATACTGCACCATCTCCAGGCATGGAGTTTTTTTTTATTCTTGCAGGGGATGAAAAGAGACTTTGGTAGGCTGACCCTTTTTGTCTTTCTTGGACAAATGTTCTCACTTGAGTTTCCAAACCTCTCTCTCTAAGCATATGGAAGTTAAATAATACCAAATATACATGATGTACGCATAGGTGTAAAGGCAAAAAGCATTCTTTGTCACGTGAGAGTCAGCACTTTGCTATCCTACAAAAGCTAACAAGCCACGTGTTTAGACCCTCTACACGTAATTCTGTATTGCAGATTATCTTCTCCAGAGCACAGCTGCTTTCCATGGAATGTCTTTGATGCTCTTGTGCTGTGTTGGTCAACCACCTTATCTGTATGGCGTGTGGGAGCCATAACAATATCAAATATGCCAAGGTTTTAGCTCGCTGCTATTGTGCTAATGTTTGCTTTGTTTTTTCCCTGCATAATCTTTTTTTGCATCCTCTGCTCACTGATCTGATAACACCTGTGTGCTAATAGAATTACAGAGTTAGCGATTAGCAAAGGTGTCTTTGTTTTACACCCCCTTCTCTCTTTATACTTTATTAAAAAGGGTTTTAGAACAGATGCTGTGACTTTTTTCCTCTGCTTCCTCCCACGCCATAGCAGAGTTTCAGCTTGTGAAGTATTGCTTTGTTATTAAGTGAGTATGGACAAGGGTATTCCTCTTCTGGACATTATATGAAAAAATAAATATGTAAGAAATCATCTTTCAGAGTTTTTGCAGAGACTTTCAATGAGACTAACTCAGTCTGTGCAAATAGTTAAAGGTTCTAAATTCAGGTGTAGTTCAAGGAAGCAATCAAGATGTTTATCCAGCTCTTTAAAGTCTGAAGTATGCCGATAGAAATCTTATGCCAACATTCTCTGTCACAGGGAATTTCTTGTTCTAGTTTCTGGAAACTGACAACAAAAAATCTTTTAATGAAACATTTCAGCATTTAAAAGCTCATACTGACTGTAAAAAGTTATTAAATTCTTTTGCTAATCTTGACCAAATAGTGCACCTTCACTGTCAGTGTTCCTGAGCAGAAGTAGTATCTTAACTCACTCCTTAGTCAGCTGAAATTCTAAATTATGCTAGTAGCTGCTACCTGTTACAAGTTTGCTGGGCAAAGCTAATCCTAGTTGTGCATTTCTAGTGATTTTTGTCCCAGTGTGCTAATGAGGGGTTAAACTAGCAGCAAATTTTCCATCATCTGGCTATCCCTGTTGTTAAAGGGATGTAAACTGTTGTGTGAAGTAAACCCGTCTACAATTGGCACACAGCAAGATAACAACACTGCTCGTAAGACAGAGTGTTGGTACACCACAAGATTTGAACAGGAACTCAGAAGAAATAGTGAAGTTTTAGCTATTTTAACATTTTGACCTTTTTCAGAAAATGAACATATTCTCCAAAGCACAGAATATGTTGAATCAGCAGCAGGCGATGTGAAACCAGATTGTGATGTAATCTTCAAGAAAACCATATTTGTAATAAGGTTAATTAAATTTGCTGCAAGCTTGTGACAAGCATGCTGTAAGTTTGCCAGTAAATCTGGTCTTGCTTTATCAAACTGAAGGGCAAGAATTAAAAAAAAAAAAAGGGGGGGGGGAAAAAAAAAAAAAAAAGACAGAAAAAGGGGGTAAAAAAAGAAAAAGCTTTCCTCCTCCAGAATAAGTAGTGTGTTGCCAGAGGACATGCAGACTGGCAACAATAACTAATACGTTATGAGAGGTTGAACAAGTTTAAATGGGATTTGTCTCTGAACTGAAAGGCATATTGTAAGAAATTTCTTTGTCTCCTTGTGATGCTGTTAAATTGAAAGCGCGATGGGAGGCTTCAGTAGAGGCAACAAAGGTTGAAATGATAGCCTGCTGTTTGCAGCAAGCATCAT